CCACACCCACACACACTCGCTCTCTCTCTCTCTCTCTCTCTCTCTCTCTCTCTCTCTCTGCTAGCAGTTTCCCTACAACCTAGAAAAAGTCCTCTGGTAAATACTGCCCTTAGATTAATTCCTTTCTCTTTCTTCCTTCCTTCCTTTCTTTCTTCCTTCCTTTTTTTTTTTTTAAGATTTTATTTATTTATTATATATACAGTCTTCTGCCTGCATGCCAGCAGAGGGCACCAGATCTCATTCAAGATGGTTGTGAGCCACCATTTGGTTGCCGGGAATTGAACTCAGGACCTCTGGAAGAGCAGTCAGTGCTCTTAACCGCTGAGCCATCTCTCCAGCCATCTTTTATTTATCTATTTATTAATCCTATTTATTTATTTATTTATTTATTTATTTATTTATTTATCCATTTATTTATGGTTTTTGGAGACAGGGTTTCTCTATGAGGTCCTGGCTGTCCTAGAACTCACTCTGTAGACCTGGCTGGCCTCAAACTCACAAAGATCTGCCTGCCTCTGTCTCTGTGCTGTGTTTAAAAGCAGGCACCACCACACCCAGCTTTCTTTTTAAACTTTACTGAAGTAAAAGTGTAATATATAATACATATCTAATTAATTACATTTGGTGTTTAGAGATAGGATCTTCTATGTAGTCCTGGTTACAAGTATGTGCTATCATGTCTGGCTACCTACATAATTTGAAATGTATAATTTGATGACTTGTAATATTAGCATACCTGTGAAGCCATCGCTATTACTAAGCTAGTGAGTGCACTCACTATTCTTCATAGCTCTTCCTCTCTCTACCACCCCAGTTAGGTCTAGTCTGCTTTCTGTCTCTTCAAATTAATCTGTATTTTCTAGATACTGCTGATGGGGTGCTGTGGACCAAACCCAGACCTCACTAGTGTTAGGCAAATATCCCATTATTAAGCACAAACATTGTCTACAATTTCAGAGGTGAAATCACGCCATCTGGCAATCTCCCTCGGCATAACTATTTTGAGATTCACCCCGAGTTCAGCTCTAAAGGAGTTTAGGGTAAGTTCTGAGTTCTTTTGCAAGTTTATATACGGTCACTACAGAAACGTGCTTGTATTTTCAGCTATATTATTTGAACCACTACATTTTTTTTTCTCCAGAGAGGAAAAAACGTATCATAAAGCTCATTCATCACCAGAAACACCCTGCTTTAACAAAAGGGAAAACTTCCACAGCTACCACAAAACTGTTACCAGCTTCAAGCTTCACACTATCAAAAAGCAGTTAAATTATACAACAGAATAGCATCTTACATTCTTTGTTTGTTTTTTATTTTTTTCTTTACATTCTTTCTTTTAAGCAGTTGAAAGTACTCAAGAAGAGAAGAACTTTCTAGCTATCTGTCCTCCAAAAAGACTGAGTATCATCCAGGAGCAGGAGGAAATCTAAACTGTGCTATTCACTATTGTGTTCAGTCAATCTACTGCCTCCCAGCGACTTAGATGATATATGACTAAGGAGGCTTCTTGTCACTTACTGTCACTGCCTGGGCAATGTCGGGTCCCTGTAGATTCTCAAAGTTATCTAAGATGATGCTCCATATAGACAGATCTACATTTTTACCTGGGGAGGTCAAACTCAGCTCCAAAAATGCTACTTCTTGCAGGATTACTGAGTGTACCTCTATCCCAGATAGTTTCCTCTTTCCTTAATCCAATCACATTTATTCCCAGTTTGGTTGTACAATCTGAGCAAAATAAGGAAATGGTTATCAATGCTTCCAGAAAGTTTCTGTATTCTTTCAATCAACGTAAAGGGTCAGACCCAAAAGGCTCCTAAGAGGCACAGAAGGCCTCATCCAACACAAGCTGAACTGCCTGCAAGGTTACTGCTCTGCCTGGCAGTAGCTCCTGAGCAGCTGTTAGAGACCTGATTTGCCTAGGGACAAAAATATATATATATATATATATATATATATATATATATATATATCTTTCATGCTGAGCATAGTGGTGCATACCTATAATCCCAGCACTTGGCAGGCAGAGGCCAGCCTGGTCTACATAGTGAGTTCTAGGACAGCCAGGACTACATAGACAGACCTTGTCTCAAAAAAGAAGATAAATGGGTGACAGCTGAGCACTATGGTGGTGTTCCTGTATTCTCAGCATCTGGGAGGCTGGAGGCTGAAGGAGGAGGCCTACTTGAGCCTTTTAAATTTAAAGTGGCAAGTACTGTATATGATCATACCATCTTTGGATGTGCCCAATGTCATCTAGATGGGAGAAATAAAACGCACCACAGCATGTGAGGGAAGGTTAGAGGATAACTTGTAGAAGTTAGTTCTCTCCTTTTGCTCTGTAAACCAGACTGGCCTCAAACTCAGAGATCCATCCTGCCTCTGCCTCCAGAGGGCTGGGATCAAGGGTGTGAGCCACTACACCCAGCTCAAAATATCCTTTAATTAAGGTAATTTCTAGTCCTGTATCCTAGCAATAAATCTTGGGGGGAGGGAACAAAAGTGAAAGTTACAGCTAAGGGCAAGTCAATTTATTAACTTTAAAAAATACTAAAAGAGAAAGAATAGGCATGGATATGGCACGGTTTATCAAATGAGAGTACTTACTGTGTAAACAGGAGATCCTGATTTCAAATACTCAGAACCCGAATTAAAACAAACAACAACAAAAAACCCACAAGCATGAGCCAGGTGTTGGTGGCACACACCTTTAATCCCAGCACTCAGTGGATCTGTGTGCGTTTGACACCAGCATGCTCTATACATGAGTGCTAGGCCACTCAAGGCTGCACATGCTATTCTGGTGTTGATGGGTGGAGACAGGCATGGTCCCTGAGCTCACCAGGCTAGCCAGGTTCAATGAGAGACACCCTATCTTTTCTTTCCTTCCTTTTTGAGACAGGGTTTCACTTTGTAAATCTGGCTAGCTTGGAACTAACTATGCAGACCAGGCTGGCCTCAGATTCACAGAGATTGGCCTGCTTCTGCTTCCTGAATGCTGGGATTAAAGGTGTCCAGTACCATGGACTATGAGAAACCCTGTCTTACAAAGTATCAAGGCAGAGAATAGAGGAAGACACTTGATGTCTTCTGGCCTTCACGCCCCATGTGCACAGCACTTGTGCAATGCACGTGTGCTTAGTTGCTTGTATACACTAACACACCAAATTAAAAACATGTTTAAAGAGAGAATGGCTTTAGCCAACAGACGGCACAGAAGTATTTCCCCTTCCAATGGTTTAGCTGGCATAGAGAAGAAATTAAGGAGTTGGGAGATTTTATTTTTGGCAGGAGAAACAAAAAGAGACTATTTCATATGTAACAGTGACTAGAACAAAGCAAAGAAATGAAGCTCCCAGGAGGGCCCATATGAGTGCTTCCCTGTAAAGCATCTGCACATATTGTATATTGCATTCCAAGCCAGAGGACCTTCTGAGGACACTCACTGGCTCAGAGCTGCACAGAACAGACAGCTGGGAGTGTGAAGAAACATGGTAATACAGGTAGGTCTCTGGGCAACAAGACTCAACAACTTCTTTCGTGGAGAATACTACATATTCCCCATAAATTTTGACTTCCACATCAGTACCTTCCAGAACACAGTGAGATTATGTATTCTTCCATCAACTTTATAAGCAACTTCCAAGGCAATGGAGCAAAAGGAATACATTAAATAGGGGCACTCAGAGAGACAGACAGACTCTCTGCATTTGTAGTCTCTCTCCCAGCCTCTTTTTCTGAGGCAGGAGCCTGCTATGTATCTCAGACTAGCCTTGAACCTACAATACTCCTGCCATAGTATCCTAAGTGCAGCATTATAGGATACATCATCTCAGCTTTCATCTTCTCCTTTATAATTGATATCAGCTAGAGAGAATACAAATAAGACAATAATAGGTATTAAAAATACTAACTTACCCTGTGGCGAATTTCTTATAAAGTCTTCTAGTCCTTTCCTCATTCACATATGAAGAGCAAACTGCTCCAAAGCAATAGATTAAAAAAAAAAATTGGGCCAGTGAGATGGCTCAGCAGGCTCTTGTCTCTCTACATAATTATATACAGTTTAAGAATAAAACCCAACTAAGCATATAACTATAATCTAAGCACAGTGTTTGATTGAATGTATGTATAGGCATGGCAAGTGTTCCTGGTGCCTGTGATGGCCAGAAGAGGTCACTGTATCCACTAGAAATGGAGTTATAGATGGTTGTGGGTAGCCATGCAGGATCCTGAGAACTGAATCTTCGTCGTCTGCAAGAGCAGCAGTGATCTTAAGTGCTAAGACATTTTTTCAGGCTCTGAAGAGTGGTTTTATAGGTGCAGTACACAATTGCCAAAACTCATTAAGTAAATATTTAAGAATATTTAAAATTTAAAATCTGTGTGTTTTATGTTATTTAACTATACACATACAACAGTAACAAAAAACCAAAACAAAAAAAAAAAAAAAAACAAAAAAAAACAACCTAGCCGGGCGTCAGTGGCACACACCTTTAATCCCAGCACTCAGGAGGCAGAGGCAGGCGGATCTCTGAGTTCGAGACCAGTCTGGTCTACAAGAGCTAGTTCTAGGACACCTCCAAAGACACAGGGAAACTCTGTCCCGAAAAACCAAAAAAATTAAAAATTAAAAAAAAAAAAACCCTTAGAGGTCAGCAAGACGGATCAATGGGTAAAGAAAGGTTCTTGCCACCAAGCCTGATGACCTGAGTTGGATTCCCAGAACGGGCATGACAGAGAGAGAACCAATTCCTACAAACTCTTCTCTGACATTCATAAACGCCTGCCCCCACTAACAACAACAACAACAAAAAATGCAAGAAAAAGAGAGAATTAAAAACAACAACAACAATAATAATAATAAAGCCAGGCATTGGTGGCGCACGCCTTTAATCCCAGTACTCTGGAG